CCTAAAGTTTTAGATCTCTTCCCTTCGGTGATTTTTGTTTGCTTTCATGCGAGGAGGTGTAATTTGCAAAGACAATTGGAAAAAGAAATCACTTTTAATTGTCGCTCCTTCTGGAGTACATTATATCCTGATGATTCAGAGTTCTTTGGAAAATTGCTTCGGACATCATCATCATCATCTGATGATGATAAATGGATCTTGGATGCTTTGATACTTTATTTATTGAAATATTTTACTTCTTCCTTTGATTTGTACTCCGTCTTCCTCCCTGCCCCGAAGAAGAAACTTTATATAAAAATAAACTGGATGCTAGGATTGCTTATTTTGACGGCTTTTAGGAGTTTGTAAAGAGTATTTTAATGTGATTTTTTTAAAATAATGTTTCAATCTTGGTATCATTTTAATTACTTTTATTGATTCATCGTCTTGTGGGCTGGGAGGTGTATTATTTTAATTGGTTTTCATTTGTTCATCGTGATACAGAAATATTTTGAGTAAATAAATAAAAATGCCAGCAAAGGTGGAAATACAAAAGTAAACCAAGACACACTGCAGGAATAATCCAGTTTGAGACCACTTTAACTACCTTGGCTCAATGCTAGGGACTTCTGAGAACTATAGTTTTGTGAGACAATTAAGCCTTCTCTGGTGCCATTATAAACTACAATTCCCAGGATTCCCTAGCAGTGAGCCAGGGCCATTAAAATGGTCTCAAACCAAATTATTTCTGCAATGCATTTTGGACCATAGAAGCTCCGATTGCAGTGGCTCCTGAAGTTTGAAAATGCAACTTTTGTGACCATGCAGCCAAAGCATCAAAGATCAGCCCAGGTGAGCTTACCTGGAAAGGTTGTTTTGCAATGAAGGGGCCACACTGACGAAGGCCCTGCTTCCGATACCTGATCACAACAATAGAATAGTCAGTCTGTCATAGTGCTGGACTACGACTCTGGAGACCAGGGTTCGAATCCCAGCTCAGCCATGAAACCCATTGGGTGACCTTGGACATGTCACACTCTCTCAGCCTCAGAGGAAGGCAATGGCAAACCTCCTGTGAACCAGGGTAACCAGACATTCTCTTTTCCCAGGACACCTCTCTTCTGGCAGATCAGCCCACAATCCAAATTTCTAGCTCTAAACCCAATGATTAATCTCAGATAGTCATGACTTGTTGAATGAACAGGATTTACAGAAGTGTTGGTTTTCCATTTAGTAATGGAAGAAGTAGCCTTCCTCTACATAGACAAGGATTCCCAAACTTGGGTCCTCCAAGTATTTTGGACTTCCGCTCCCAGAAGCCCCAGCCAGCTTGACCCAACAGTCAGGAATGCTGGGAACTGAAGTCCAAAACATCTGGAAGACCAAAGCTTGCAAGCCATTGCCTTAGATTAGAACCATTCATTGGATGTAAGCCAGATGTGGGAACTGTGTGACCCCGGTTGTACTCCTGCTCTGCAACTCCCATCAGCCTAGCCAATGGCGAGGAACGCTGGGAGTTGCAGTCCTGCAACATCTGGAGGCCCATCTAATTCTCACCCCTGTTTTAAGTCCCTAAATCCCATGGGTTGTGATGGGGAAGGTCAGCAATGTCTACAAAAAGTGCAATGAGTCTGTCTGTCTTTCCAAGTGGGGTCATCATGAGCCAGAGAAATATAGAAGTCGGCCTTAATTCGGAGCTTTTAATTCTTGTACAGTTGATGCAATCATTAGTTTTTAAACTTCATTGTTGGGTCTTGCTTTCTTTCCCCTGGGGAGGCTGTGCATTCATTGTCTGGGGCTCTGATGCCTCCGTATTGTAGACCCAACCAATCTTGGCATCCGCAGCATCCTCCGTGAGCCCATAGAAATCTATATTTATGATGAATGCAACCCTCTGGAGTCTGTAGCAAAGCCAAAAA